TTTTTGGATTATTTTTATTTGATCTAGTTTTCGAGAAAATTACAGTCCAAGTACTTTCTGGACAACTCTTTATTTATTGCTTAATATCTTATGCAATTATCGTTATAAATAACTGAATAACATCCACTATATTTATCATATTTCAAATTTAATAGATATTATTTTATGTAATACTTATTATTAAATTGCCACATAAATATTATAATTAATTATATTTTTAGGTATTTTAATGAGAAATTATACAACAATTATATAATAATTTAATATTGACTGTATAACTGATATATAATGTGTAACATTAGTATTAGTAGTATCAGACTACCATTTTAAAAGCAAAATATACAATACTAGATACCATTTATTCATTGATTTAGTATTTTAATAGTTAATAAATTATAATATTATGAGATAAATACTAGAATAAAAATATAATATAGTATAATAAGTAACTAAAATAAATACAATTATTTTCTTTAAATAATATTATTTAGTTTTAGAAAATAACTAATGATAAAACACAATGTCAATTTAAGTTTTACTTAATGATACATTGTACTTAAAGATATATTATAATATAAGTTATTTATTTTTATTTTATTTATATACAGCTCGTACGGTAAATTAGTCTGTATAATTTGTAAATATAAGTAATTAATTTTTCTAGACTTTAGATTAGTCTAGCAAATACAGTATATAGTAATTAGAGTTCATTACATAAATTATCGTTTTATTTTATAATAATTTCAAACAATCATTATATTATACAATAACCAAAAACTTAATAATAATTTACTGTATATTTGTATTAAGACTTCATAAACGATTAAAAGTGAGATTATTTCCAATACACTTGTGTTGACTATTTTCTCACTACTGGTGTGCTGTTTAAAATTAAAGTCATATCAAAATGTTTGTCATTTACTTGATGTAGATATGAGACAATTTGTAAACCATATATAAATAGTCGAGAAGTTTGTATGAACTCTGCATTCATTGAATTGAATTTAGTTTTGATTTTTTGAATTGAGATCTAATTAAAAGCAAAATCTAAACCATGGCTTCCAATCGAGACAAGGCTACCGACCAGTTAAAGGACTTCAAAGCGAGTCAGCCAGCTAAACCTGTAAGCCACCCGTGTCCATTTAATTACTTTAAAATGTTTAAAATTTAATATTAACTCTTAATCTACTAAATATTTCAGTTACTTTAAGTTATACGGTATTTATGCAAAATACAATTTTCAAAAAATATATCTAGCTAATAGTTTGATTTCAGTAGCCATGTTACTACCCAATCAATTATATGAATTGTGGCTTCAATAACTCTTAAAAATATTAAAATTTTTATTTACAGTATCGCACACACAAAATAATTTTTATTAGAAATTAATTAAAGTCCTAAAATATAATAACAAATTAATTGTATCAATTTGCTGTATAAATCACGTAGTAATGATTTTTTGTTGTTTATAAATTATAAACTTATCATTAACTTCAAAATTCATGATTTGATCAAATTATTGAAGGGTTAAAAACAAAATAATCAATTTGTGTAGAAATTGATAATTAATAACTAATTCTAATATAAATATTTTAATTAATATTATTATTAATAAAAGTGTGCTTTTAATAATCTTGGCATAATCAATGTACTAATAGTGAGCTATAGTTAAATTAAATATATTAAAGTATCTTAATATTACATAATATTAATAATTACCCAGTATATCTCTTGATTAATTAACTGATAAACTAAACGAAAATAAAATTTATGATTAATTTTTGAGTTTTATTAAACTTTTGTTTATATACTAAAATAATCAATGTAATGAATGTATCGATAGTCTGAACCATATTAAACATTATGTTTAATATCAGTTTTGTTAGTTTTATCAACGATTTGTACGGTTGACAACAATAATCTACAATACTATACTCCTATGTTTATTAAAATAGAGATATACAATTAGTAGGCAAATAACTACTAATAATAGTTAATTATGATATTTTATTAAAAATAAAAAATATTTATTTTTGACGTCTATTTGGAAAAATTATACAATGCAATTTATTTATTTAAAGTAATTGTGAACATAGTAAAAAAATACTTAATAAAAGTGGTTTCATGATATCAATATGTTATATATAAAAATTTAATAAAATGTCAAAAAGGCTTAAATTATTAATAAAAATAAATAATTAATTACAAAAACTATCTATTATTTGTATTTTTGTATTATTATTATATTTTTATATTATAATAATTAATACCATATTAATATCTTATAAAACACAAACTATAGATAATTTTAAGCTTATTAAAATATATTTTAAAATAAAATTATACATGTTTATTTTATAAAATACATAACTAAAAACTAACCCAACCCTTAAACACCCAGGTCCAAGTCACAACCCAATTCGGGATCCCAGTCGGGGACAAACAAAATGCCCTAACCGTCGGCCCCCGGGGACCCATACTCCTAAAGGACAACCACCTCATCGAAGAACTTTCCCGATTCGATAGGGAACGCATACCGGAGCGGGTGGTGCACGCCAAGGGTGCCGGTGCTTTCGGGTACTTCCAGGTCACCAAACCGGACATCACCCGGTACACCAAGGCCAAGGTGTTCGACACGGTGGGCAAAAAGTCGCCGGTAGCCGTCCGATTTAGCACCGTATGGGGCAATACAGGGTCGGGCGATACCCATCGGGACCCGCGCGGGTTCGCCGTCAAGGTGTACACCGAGGAGGGTGTGTGGGATTTGGCGGGAAATAATACCCCGATCTTCTTCATCCGGGATCCCATGCTATTCCCGTCGTTCATACACAGCCAGAAGCGCAACCCCCAGACCAACCTGAAGGACCCGGACATGTTGTGGGACATGCTGTCCCTGAGGCCTGAGTGCACCCACCAAACGGTGTTCCACTTTTCCGATAGGGGTATCCCCGATGGCTATAGGCATATGAATGGGTACGGTAGCCATACGTATAAGTTGGTGAACGCCAAGGGAGAGGCGTTTTATACCAAGTTTCACTGGAAGGTTGATCAGGGTATCCGAAATATGGACAAGGTCAAGGCTCATAAATTGCTTGGTATGTTTTTATTGTAACTAGTACAGTACTATTTTTATATTAGTTTTTTAAATTAATTTATGATTTATACCTGTATATTTTTTAATGAGTTATTATTTAATGATAATGTTAATGTGTGTTTAGCGGATGACCCTGATTACTCTATACGTGACTTGTTTAACGCCATCGCAAACAAGCGCTTCCCCTCGTGGACACTACACGTCCAGATCATGACCTACGACCAGGCCAGGGAGTTCAAGTTCAATCCCTTTGACCTGACCAAGGTATGTGTGTCATAAATTAAATTCAAACTATTATTATTGTCTATCTATATCTAAAATTCTTTAAATATGTGGTTAGGTGTGGCCGCATAAGGACTTCCCGCTGATAGAGGTGGGAAAGTTGGTGTTGGACCGCAACCCCAGTAACTACTTCGCGGAAGTGGAACAACTGGCCTTTGATGTCAACAATTTGGTCCCCGGTATTGATGTGTCACCTGATAAAATGCTCCAGGCCAGACTGTTTGCATATGCCGATACACATAAGCACCGGTATGTGTGATAGTTTTAAAACAATTATTCTTAATATTTTATTCTACCACATAAAAAATAATATTTAAATAATAGCGAGGTGTTAATGTTTCCATAAGTATTGATAAATAAATCTAGTAAATGAAATAAAATTTATATAAACTATTTTACAGTTTATTCACATAGACATTGTATATGAAAATATAACTAAATAATTCTAAACAATTTTACAAAAATAGTATCTTATGTTAGTTAGTTTGATATTAATCACATGACTAGGTTAATTAAAAAACATACTTTCTTAACAAACCTACAGTTTAGGTGCAAACTACCAACAAATACCGGTGAACCGGGCGAAGTGCCCGCTATACCACCCGACCCAACGGGACGGACCCATGCGTTACGATGACAATCAGGGCAGTGCCCCGAACTACTGGCCCAACAGCTTCCACAACATCAAGGATGACCACCAGTACAAAGAGCACGGAGAGCGCCACCTCGTGGGCGACATCGACCGACACGACTCGTCCAATGAGGACAACTACGAACAGTCGACCGACTTCTGGAACAAAGTCCTGACCCCCGATGAGAGGCAACGACTGGTCGAGAATATAGCTGAAAGCCTGGCGGAGACCCTACCCTTCATTCAGGAGCGAGCTATAGGCAACTTCGAGAGAGTGCACCCGGACTTAGGCGCCCGCATTCGCTTAGCCCTCAACAAAGTGCAGGTATGTAGCAATATGATTAAAAATGTTTTTTGAATTAATTTATATTTTTTAAATATATTTTTTTGTTATATTTAGAGCGCAAACCTGTAGGTTTACGACACATTTTTATGGGACAAAAGTCTTTATTATTAATAATTCTTTGAATTGAATTTTTATGGATTTAAGAAATTATTAATAAAATTAAGTTTTAATTATAAAATCTAACTGTTCATTTTGTTAATTCTTAAAATAAATGTCGTTAATATATATCACCTTACTAAAATCATAACTTAAAACTAAATTATTAATCGGTAACTATGTTTAAATTTAATTTTAAAGTGTTGGGAATAATTTGCACACTGGTAACAGTTTTATAGATTTTATAAATTACCAGTATTACTGAATTATTCAAAATATTATAATATAATATAATTAAAATGATGTTAATATCTTTGACATTATTCTAATTTACTTTAAAAATAAAGCAATTTTGTAAGTCACGAAAATTTTCATAAAGTATAATATTAGTGGTATTAGCACTAAAGTATTTCATAATAATTAAAATGCTATTTTTATAAGAGAGTTAGTAATAAAAAATTGTTAAAATTCAATAACAAGTATGATAATCACTTACATACTTAACTATAATTATGAAAGTTATTTTATGAACTATACCATTAAGAAATGCTATTAACACTCGTGTTTAATATAATATACTTGTATTATATTTATATTAATTTAAAAATAGACTACATAATGAAATTTTAAAAAGTCGTAGATAACACCTTCAGGTAAGTACGTCAGGTCCTTATTGCCGGCCAACATGAGCGTGGTCACTTTATTCGTGGGGAATACGTGCGACCCGAAACTACTACGGGTTAAGCTATTATTCTCAAGGTTAATTGTTATGTGATCCCAATTAGCTCGGGGGAACTGGAAGGCCGAGTCACCGATGGCCACAATCTTCTGGTTAGATAAGTTCACCATGTTCAAATCTGATTGGATATTATTTTTA